GGCAAACCTTTGCAAGGCAAATGTCACATCCAGAAGGCGCTCCTCTGCTGCCGCTTGTCGTCCTATGTCCTTGTGGTCTCGTTATTTGAGCTTCTTGAGCTGTTGCAACACAGAAAATCTCTTCCAGTACTCATGTTAGAAGACATGTCGAAGTTGCAAGAAACGGGGAGGCATTTGTGAATGTTTGTGATTTGCTCACTGCACAACAATGATATTCATCTGGCATAGACTACTATCACAGCAAGCCTAGAAATAATGTGTGTGGTCGGATCCCGGCAGATCGTGCAAGGAATGTGCTGGAAATTGAAGCCATGTACTGCTCTCATTCGTTCAAAAGACGGAATTTTGTTTGGCCTACTCCATGCAATTCAACTCACCTGGCAGTTCCAGGGATCCCACCACCCTCCCTGGCATCTCCCTGATGGCGAAGGGCCCAACGCCACCGTCCTAGGCCCAGAGGCAGCGCCACCCAGTAGCAGCGGCACCGCACGTTGACCTTGGGGCTCCCCCTCCTCGTTGCTGGCGCTGGCGCTGCCGTTCTAAGGCTCCCCCGTCGGCCTTATGTTTTTTCCTTGGAGCCTGTCCCCAGCAGGGTGCCCTTTGTTGGGCAACTCTCTCTTCCAAATCGTTGATTGAAGCGACGAACAAATGGCCTTCAGAAAACGAGACAAGAAGAAGCAAGAAAAGGATGAGAACAGGAGCAAAAGCAAGAAAACTTTCTACATACTGGACGGACGACCTGCAAGGCAAATGTGGTTTCAAGAAGCGCTCCTTGCCACCGATCTCCATCCCATGTCCTTGTGGGCTTGGCCGTGTACCTGCTTGAAATTTCTCAATGTAGAAAATCTCTACAAGTGCCTATATTAGAAGACACTTTGAGGTTGCAAGAAATGCGAAGGCATGTACGAATATTTGCTATTTGCCCATTGGACAACAACGATATCTATGTGGCACAAATGTTGGTCATAGTAAACATAGCAATAATGGGTGTTGTCGTACAGTATGACTCGTACCCTAGCAGCGCATGCAAGGAATGCAGTAGAAATTGGGCCATGTACTGCTTCTCATTCCTTCAAAAGAAGGAATTTATTTTTGACCTACTCCACGCAGTTTAACTCATCAAGCTCCAGGGATCCCGCCACCCTACCTGGCAACCCTCTAGTAGGGGCCCTCCTCATAATGGCTTCCTGATAGCGTGAAGCATTGCTTGGACGATACTGGGCGATGCCTCAGGTGAACACGCGGTTGGTGAGAATTGCCCTGCCGTCAAGCACCGCGGCGGGGGACGCAAGGCCCACCCCATCAACAGGCCCTATTGTCCTAACGTTGCCACGATCCGCGACATTTGCTGGCTAGATTCCATTGAGCCTGACTCAATAGGAGCATCGGCACAAGGGGAGTGCCCCATCGACAGACACGGATATGGGAGGCAATAGCACCAGCTTTAGGAGGCCAGGCGAGGGAGATGCGCAAGCGAGGGTCGATGATCCGCACGCCAAAGGGTCCCAAAGGAGGGGAAACAGTAACGTGGGCGTCGGCATCAGCATAGATGGCCGCCAAACGTCCGTTATTCAATTGCCACGCATCGTCACAAGGAGTGGGGCTCAACCTAGCATGGGGGCGTGGGAGGGACTCGCGGCGCCACCATGGCAGCGGCGGATAGGGCATCCATGCTCGTGTTTGAGTGCCCCATCTGCTGCTATGAGAATGCCGCTAGCGACTTCATGTTGTGCTGTGGGGTTGGGCACGAGACTTGCCAGGCATGCATTTGCCAATACATCTTCTGTGCGATGGGCGTTTACTCAACGCCGATCCCCATGTGCATGGGTTGCATGGTGGTCCTCGACACACCATGTGTTATCCGCGATAGGACCTCGCCCCGTGACCTTGGCGAGGATGTCATGCAACGCTACAACACCACCATGGAGTCTATGGCATGTTCGCCATATACTGCGACGACCCTGACATTGCGTACTGCCCATGTGAGACCTAGAAATGGGTGCCTGTTGGGAAAACATGCTACACCGTGATGTGCTTCGCCTGTGGCAGGCAATGTACGCTGCCGCCCAGGCGTAAGGAATTGGCACAGCAGGTAGCCCCGACCATAGACCACACTGGCGATGAGACCCGGAGGTGCCCCGGCTGCTGGAGACCTTCATCAAAGACCTAATGCCCCACCATCACTTCAATGACATGGCCTGCGGCTTTTGTCCCATCCATGGGTGCTACGTGTGAGACAACAAGCTAGGCAACAACAACGACCATTTCTAGGACAACGTTGGCCACTGGTGCTCCTATCTGGGGGGCCGCTCCATGGAGGGCACTGGCAAGTGCCGGGTATGCAGCAGGTGCTACATTACTCCAACGACAAAGTGGTGGCCAAACTTGGGATCCTGCAGGCGAAGGCTGAACGGGAGGAGGAGGAAGTCGTCGGTCAGCCTCCGCCAATCAGACAACATAGGAAAACCACCTACGAAAGCCGTCTGGGAATGTGTCTTTGGAAACCACACCATCACTCTTCACATAACAACAAAACCATAAACAAACATGTGCGACTAGAACTCGCTATTGAAGAAAAGGTGCAAAACCAGAAAATTGTAATTTGCACACGATCATTTGCTCCTAAAGCACGTGACGGGCACCAAAGCAATCACTCTATCCACTGAGAGTGAGCGCCGAATTGCCAAAACGCACATGCAAACCAGAACCTTGCCCTGAGCTTGAAAGTTGTGCTTACCTTGTGTGTTAAACTACTGGAGTAGAGGATTGCCAAGTGTGGAAATTTACAACTGTAGAAGAAACTAACAAAAAGACAAATATAAACAATCAACAGAAACAAAAACAACACAGAAAAAAACAAAAAAAAAACAAAAATAGCGCCGAGGGTAGGTCCATCCCCAGCTCCGCGCTCCTTGTGACGACCGACACCCGCCGCGATCGATTAACGGACGTCGTGCGGACGTCCGTGCTTGTGCCGTCGCCCACGTCGCTGCACCCCCCTACCGGATCCCGTGGCGTGCGGATTATCGGGCCCGCCCTCGCGCCTCCCTCGTCCAGCCTCCTCGGGCTGGCGCTTCTGCCGCCCGCCCGCTTCCGTCAATGGGGCAGCCCCCGTGCGCCGACGCTCCCGCTGAGCCAGGCACAGCGGATCCCCCAAACCCAAATGTCGCGCATAGTGGCGGCGTCAGGACACAGGCGCCTGTCGATGGGTGGACCTTGCGCCCCCTGCCTGCCGTGGCGCGCGCCGGCGGGGCAGCCCCCGCTTACGGCGGGTTCACCTGACGCCCATCATCCAAGCGCCGCCTGAGGCTTCGCCGAACCTCCCTCAGCCGCAGACCACATGCCGCGCGCCCCCAGCCGCCCCCTCTTCTGTCCAAAGCTTTCCACCTGTCCCGATGCTCGCCGCGCCTCCGACGCTTCCGCCTGCCGTTGCGTGGATGATTGAAGATGCTCCTCCGCCGAAGTGGCCGCGTCAGATCGCGCCATCGCCCCTCGATGCGGGCTCGATTGTTCCATCGTTGGTCAAAAGTCGATCGCTGATCGGTTCGCTGATCGCTGTTCGGTTTTCGCTGGTCACAGTGCGCCGGTCGCTTCGGACTGGTTGTCGACTGCTGCTGCTCGCCTGGCAGGCCTTACCGGGCGCCCATTTATAGCTGGCGGGGACGGCGGGCACCCCAACGTGCAGCGAAGCGACAACAATTTGAAAGTGCGTCAGTTGGCGAATGATGCAAGGGCTGTCCCTCGGTGTGGGCCCACTGCCGAGTGCCAAACGGTGCACAGCAGGCAGGGAGCCGTTCGCTTCACGCGAACACCCGTCCAGGAAGTGTGCACCATTGGGGTTTGTGCCATTCAACGAAAGCCTGTGTGAATGGAGAGAAAGCGATCCGCTGTGTTGCATCCAATCTAATAGAACTGCTTTGTATTTTGTGAACGGTTGCTGCCAATGTCCACTAGGTCATAGGAACAGCGCGTAGTTTAGGGTAAATAATGGAGAAAATTGACTAAATTTGAAATGAATCTGTTCCCAACAAGTCATTTCACCAGATTCCATTTCGCCATTGGCATGGCACGTGTGCATGCACAGTTGGCACAAGAATAGCCGGTGGGACTCTAGTGAAACGTGGCAAATGGTGGTCTGTATACTTCGATGGATAACCATAATCCTGACCACTGCTGCAATCTGGTGAAATGTCCCAACGTGCGTAAGTAGAAACAGAGGCCAGGAGACGAAAATCGTGCCAGTTCAGTATCAATCAATTCGGCCGGACGTATTTTCTAGGGCATCCCGACTGATCAATGCACACCTCCCCCAGTGGTAGCATAGCCCGAGCCACACCTGTCGAAGGGCAGGACGAGCTCTTCATGCCCTGCTGCACGCCGCGCCCAAGGGTACCGCCTCGTTTCAATTTGCGCTGCCATATCTTGAGAGTGGCGTTCCAGGTCTCTAGCTCTCAACACGGCGTTTCTGAGTTGTTTCAGTCATAATTTCCAACTCGCACGTTTTGACCTTCGTTTGCACGATTTGCTTGAGAGGCACGACTTTTGAAACACAGGTAGTAAGTAGAAAAGATAGTGCTGGGGGGACATCAGGCGTGCGACACAGCCCATCCCCAAGCTGGCACTTTCCAACTCACAAGCGTCGCACAAGAGCATGCGCCTTCCCACAAATGGACCGCCACCCCGGCAATCAGAGCAGCCCCCAGCAAATGGGGTGGGGAACGATATTAAGAACGACGAAGCTAGCACAAAACAATTACCCGTCACCTGCCGAGGTCAGTTCACCCCTTGAACGCCTGTCTACGCCACATAGGAAGCTACCCCCCACTCCACTTCACCTGGCCATCACCATCTCCGATCGGCACAAGCTCCAACAACATCCGTAGTGTACAACAAGTGCCTGCATGGTATCCCAACATGCCACAAAGAATATAGCCCGAACAGCAAAAGCACTGGTAGCAGGATGAAGAGAGCATCTTCTGCACCCTATTATGCATTGCATGCTAATTTCGAAGCGCTGACAACCTGTCTTGCATTTCTCCCAGCTCTGCCCCTTCTTCCTCAGGCTCCTCCTCAACAGGCTCAGCTGCCACCTGCACAGCCAAGCCACAGGACCAGTCAGTTTCTTGAAACAGACTTTGCCCACATAGTCACTGCGGAAGCGAACCCACCCCCAAAGATCCCGATCATTGCAATTCGCAGTCTGTGTCAACAGATGCCATCTTGGGGTGGAGAGGCTAGCCATCCACAGCAGATAATGTGCACCAGGCCTGAGCGGTGCTGCCTGCATGGACCCTGATGGGTCCCCCTCCCTTCCGCCCAGCAGTCAGTGCAATCCAGCTGCTGTCCTTCCACTGCATATCAAGCAGGAGCCACTACTAACACTGCCAGCAGTTCAGCTTGCTCCATCTGGAAGTCAGATGTCCAAAATTTTGAGACAGCACTGGTGGCAAGTGACCCAATAGATTGGCAGGAACACAACATTCCGCACAGATCCAACACAGTGTACATACCAAAGCATGCGACGGCAACCATCTAAAAATGTGTACACACAGCTCAAACATGTGAAACTCGGAGCTTTTGATACCAGTGCAGAACAGAGGTGTTTGAGTGCGAGGCCCATACAACCAGGTCACTCTATTCACATAGCTTCCTTGAAGCCAGCTCACAGTTTAGATATTCTGTGCAGCACTTCTTGGCGTCAATATCAAGTGCCAGTATCCTGAAGCAACCCATAATATCTGGAACGAGTTCCGGCATCGCTGTTGCCAGCCTTTGACTGTGAATATTGTGGTCCAGTGGTCGTAGAATTGCCTGGTACACGCCAATGTGTTCCGGTTGCGCATGTCTGCTGTGCTGCAATGCATATATGTCTTGTCATCAAACACTGTATCTGCACACTCAAGCAGCAGAGAATTGCAACAATTATGGGTCAAACTTGAGCTTTCAACGATCAGTCGCAGAAGCAAAAGCCAGCGCCTCAGCAACCAAAACATGGTGCAAGTGAGGAATGCTCCAACCCTACTTTTTGTGGCTTGGCCGCCTGAGGGAGCTCTGCAAGAGTCTCTCCGGTGACTTCCATGAGTATCTTGTCCACCTCCGCCTCAGTCTCCTCCTCTAGGTCCTCGCTGTCCAGCGCCGACTCAAGGGTGTCTTCAACAATCTCCTCAATCAGACCAGTCTTTAACATTTCTGCATCGACATGATCTAGCCTTCAATGTGCTGGCATTCCACAGAAAAGTTGCAATCCAGGAGGGAGCAAGCCCAACGTTCCTTGGGCAGCCTGCATCAATGCCTGTCTGCCAAAGTTGCCCCACAAACACTCTGCACACACTGTGGAAACTCTATAAAAACAAGAGAATGAAAGGAAACACCACAGCACTTCGCAACCAAGAGTCCCCTCTGATTTTCTTGTGGATATTATATGTCTTCCTCACTGAGGAAAAAGACTTCTGCAGTGTGGAACAATAGTCAACACGTCATTGCTCAGGAAAGGGATATACATTGTGCAACATCCATCTCTATCGTGCAACCCGTTCCTTGTTTGTTAAAGCAATCTGCAGAATGAACTTGCATGGACAGAAACCCACAATTCAAGAGATCTCTGCGGATTTTTGTTGGCAACTAGAATGAAGCACGCTGCATCGAAGATGTTTCAGAAGGCTCATCGGCAAATAAGGACAACCACTGAGTAGAACTGACATTCCTTGCATACCGCAGAGAACGACACAAAGCCTAGTCAACTGTCACACACCCGGCTCATCAGTACATGAAAGAGCACATCCTGCTTCATAGGCACCTCCAGTATTGAGAATTCAAAGCCCCCAGCCACCACAATCAGACTGTCAGCTGGGGCACGGTGGGGCAGATACTAACACCAATCCATCAAAGAACATCTTGACTACCCACCATGTTGCCACCCAATTTTTAGTGGGAAAGAGGTGGCTGTGAGAATGCACCTCACCCCAACTGTCTCACTTCTCAGAACGAGGCGACCACTACCAGCGGAATGTAAGGTCAACAAGATACATTTTGGGAGAACTCAAGCCCAGCACGATGTGAACCGCCTTAGCAGTGAAATGAGCCAGCAGTTTCACAATACACCATGCCTCACAAGCTTTGTAGCAAGGTGCAGTGTTGTTCCCAATCAAGACAAGCAACCCTTGTGCTCTGGCAAGTGCAACATCGCTCTCCTGACCGACAGAGGCTCCAAGCTATTGACAGAGATCTGTGCACATGCCTTTGGACATCTCCTGGAGGTTGTTCATGAGCTCTGGGATTTTGACAAGCTTGTTAATTGCTGTCATCACCTCGGTGCTTTTGCTCAAAGTCCCAGAGACACGGGCCACAGCTGTGAAACAACCAAACACGAGTTACTGTGCAGGGCCCCATTCCACTTCATTAAGTGGACCATGATGAGCAAATGAGCATGGCGAGCATGAGGAATGTGAATACAACAGTGCTGCAGTCAGTCACACCTGTTGAACATGTAAAAAAGATGTGACAAGGCTGTGCCCTTGCACATATCTGGTACAGAAAATGTGCCACACCAACGTGCAACTGCTAGCATTACCATCTGTAGGGGCAGACACCAGCCTGCTCAACAAATGTCTTAGTTTCACAACCAGTATGTGCCAACATTGTTCCAGCACATGCTTGGCCAGGGCAACGCACTTTAGGTGTCATAAGAACAAGGCACACAAGCCATGAGGCACTGCTAAACCCTTCAAACCTCTACTGGAAAACACTGTCAGATTTCCATTGACACTGTGGTTCAGTCCAGGGTGTTGATGAATTTGTTGCAGGCTTTAAAAACACTAATCGAAACACTAATCGGCTTAACTGTGCACAAGAGAATGTGGAGCAAGTACAACATCTGTGAGCTCAGGCCAACTCCAATAAGAATGCACTAGGAATTCCGATTGGCATGGACAGGTTGACCGCACCTCAAATATCCACAAGTCAACAATTGCAAATACAGGATTCAGTGACACAGATTTCGGCTACCCCAAACTAGCCAGTATATGTGGGTTGTATGCAGCAGCACCACTACCAAACAATGCAGGGGATGCCCCTTGCAATTTTGACTCTTGCTCTCGGCTTGGAATCGTTAAAATCTGCTTTTGGACATTGATGGGGATGACCAAGCTAAGATACCGTACGGTGCAAGAAACACCTGGGAGATGGCACATCACCATTCTGAGTGAGCCATGTGCTCAATGAGACTTTCAACAAATTTGACCGCGCCATGGCTGCCTGAACCCCTACCAAGCTGTTCAGTGAGGGCTGCTTGCATTGACACCATGTGCGCCTTGTTGGTGTACAGCTGTGAGACAGTCTTCTTTGAGTTCACTAGTGCCCTGGCAAGCGTCTGCGTGGGCAGATGCAACACATTGTCAGCTCTGCGCACTTTCGCTTTTTTTTCAATTAACTCAAGAATATGCCCACAGCATGTTCACAGGACAGCTTGAGTCCACCGAGGACTCTCTGCTTTATCAGTAAAAGTGCAGAAACAGGCACGCTCAGGGATTCAGGGGGCCACCATATTGAAACGTTTATTTTGGCGAGAGTTGGAATAGGATACTATCAAATGCAGGCTGCACACGCGAGGGGTAAGGGCATCACTGCATGACAGACAGCTCCTGCGCATGGACGCTGCACAAGTTTCTGCCACTCTAACACACCTTTGCTGAAGCCATGTCGCCCCTCTTAGCAGCATCCTTCACAGACTGCTTGGCCTTCTTCTCCTCCCTCTCAATATCTGCATGGGCCATGTTTTCATCTTTGGGTGCCATTCAATCGCAAGACCAGCCACCCCACTTTCATAAGAGCAATATTTTTTGCCAATGTACTGGACCTTTGAGCAGCCTTTTTGCTTTCTTGTGCAATTCTACTTTTGCAACCAGGGGCTTCTACATCTCCTCACTCAAAGTGCATGATATTTTCAAACACGTTGTTTGGGATAGCGACCCCCAGCACAATGGCACCCTTGTATGAACTGCCTCGTTGTTGCCAAAGCAGCGTTAGTGTATTCTGTTCCCATGAGCCCCCAAAGGGTTGCTGGCCCAGAAGCTGTGCAGCTGGCTTCCCCGCGCCTCCCACACCCTTCTTTGCGACCTTGCTGCCAACAGACATTTACCGCTGCAGAGATCACATCGCTGCAGCTAAACTTCAGGACAAAAACACATGGACGAAAGCCGCTGCGCAGCATATCCACCACGTGTGACCATCTCCACCTGACTCCAACGGCTGCAAGCACGGCGCAGGATCGGACGAGCACAGCGCATCCTTCTGGACGTGAGCTTGCCTCGAATCTGCCTGTCGACCTTCCGGGCCTCCGCCCGCAGAGACGACTGCCACTTGCGCACCAGCTCCTTGGGATCCACCTTCTTCTGGAAGAGCCCCTTCAGGCCCCGCTTCTCTTGAAACATGGCTGCCTCCGCCCCAAGCCGCCCTGCCCTTCTTCAGGACGGGCACGCGGCTGCGCGGTGTCGATCTGCCAGCAGGGTGCCCGGATTCGGGCAAGCACCGAATAACGACACTGCTGAGGTGGGCAGCCCAAACGAGGGGCGTCTGATGGGGCTGGCCAGCCGGCGTGCTGCCAGATGGCGGGACACGCCTTGCGGGAGGGTATGTGTGGGGGGCAGCGCGGGCGGCAAGTCGGCTGCCAGCCACAGGTGGGGAGCGCCGTGGGGAGCGCGTGTCTGCTCCGACAGAGCCTGGTCTCACACTAGTTTCCCCTTCGGTGCCTTTCTTGCGGTGTCCGAGGTAGGTTATCGTTCTGCTGTTGGGGATAGTGTTTCTTGGGTTTGGCTTTTTTGGGACCAAACCACTTTCGCTACGGGGGAGTTATGCGCCAATGCACAGCCAGATAAGGGTGGCAGGGAGGTTTCGTGGATGGCCAGGAGTTCAGTTGCAGAGGAAAACGGGAATCTGCTTTGGCCATTTGTTCTATGCTGTTGCGCTGCCAGATGCGATCAGTATACTTCCAACGACCATTTACTAAAATGTGCAGTATTAGTATTACTGCAAGCGAAATAGCTTATATGAAGTAGGCAAGTGGTCACCACTTGCTACAGCAATGGTGATGCTTGTTGCCACGACCTTGGCATGTGGACAGTGCAATCCTAGGCACCGGGCCTTGAGCTTTTGCCCTGTGAGGTCATATGACCTCGCATATTATGGAAGCGCCGCCGTTGCAAACTTTCCTTCGCTGCCCAACGATCCCTCCATCCATCTCAGTGCCCAGCCCCTTTTTATTATCAGGACTTGCCGAACTTCTGCACCATGTCTAGCTCGGTCGAGGTCTCTCTCGGCTCAAAACTTGAATACAATGCATTCCGTTCTTCTGTCCACAGCACGGGTACTACAAACGTCTGCGCCTTCGGCAGCGCACAGAGATTCGTCCCAGAACACACATAAAGTGAATGGTTGTTGATATCAAAAGGGTAGCACCATTCATTGATCATTCATGACATTGGTGGTAATAGCGAGAGGGGTATTGGCTGAGTGCCGTGGAATATGCTGTCCAGCAGAAATGTTTCTTTAATAGACTTGAATGTCCTGTGTTTCACACATCGATGAGTGCTCTTGGAAGAACGGAACATTCTTGCAAGCATGCAATGCCATGTGCTTGAAACTGCATTGTGCAGCCTTCTTTCAAAGGGATGTTTCAAATATCCGCTCGCAGCAACGCAGCCTGCATTCTGCCGTATTATACCGTATTGCACAACTGCGAACAACGGATTGAGGTCTACACTGGATGGCGACGAGTTATCAAATGCTGAAAATGGCTGCTGTTTTTCTTCATTCTGCAACACATAGAGCAGAGAAGCGACTATGGCGACGCATTTTATTTGTGGCTCGCGTTCTCCAATACATAATTCTTCTTTGGGAGGCAATGACAAACAAATTGCGCGGCAATGGGTCAGTCATACGATGGGGCAATCAGACAAGCCTTTGATCACTAAGCGAGCTGGTTGTGAAGCAAGACAGAGAGGAAGCAGTTTCCTTTGCATTGTGCTCAATAATATTTATTTATTTATTTGTTGTCTGTTTATTATTGTTTCCACTCTGTCATGCTCCAATGCTTCACTGCTTCACCGCTTGGTCGATTGGCGTCTTCACAGCCAGCTCGTTTGATTGCGAACTTGTCTTTTGCCCCACGGCCCGATTCGAGAGCTTGCTGTGCAGTTTTGCCTCTGATTGACAGCACATCCCCAAAATATTAGTCATTGACAAGACCCGACAGCAGTTGTTCGTGCGGCGGATCCCAAACTAGCGAGTAACCAATTCACGAACTGGTGCTCGCCGTTGATCCAATGACGACAAAGACAGTTCCTCAAATGTGCGCCACCACGTGCGTACTACAACTTCCAGCAAGAAGTCCGCCGCAAGCGGGTTAGTCAACGACCATTAATCAAATCTGCCCGGCTTTGCCGCCAGTGCGATAGTCGCCGCGACCACCCAAGCGCGCGATGCGCCGGGCTCAAACCGACGGCACGCCAGGCCCCCGTCCCCCAATTCCCAAAGCCCCAAAGGGCGATGCCCCCGTGCCAGAGGCGGGTATCGCCCCGCGCCCTGGCTCGGACGGTCTTGTCGGCCTCGAGTGGAAGCTATCCGTCCCGTCTGTCCGCCGCCCACGCCGCCACGCGCCTGCGTTGACGTGCAGCCCTGCGGATCGACGACCGGCCCGCAGGTGGGTGCACACTCCCCAGCACCCCGCGGCGCGCCCTGCTCGGCAGGCAGCCCACCAACGCCGGACAGCCCCATTGCCCCAGCCGATGTGGCCCGAGGCAACGGCGCCAGTACGTTATCACCCCCTGGGGAGCTCAGCCGACCGCAGTACTTTGCGACGCTTGCAGGCGCGCGGCGCCGGGGCCCTGTGGTGAATAATACAATGAGCCGTGCGCCCCAGTTTCTGTCGTTCGGCCTGCCGCTGACAGCACCCAATCCGCCCGCTTGGCTGCGGGCTGTGGCGCCGCGTGGGGCGCCCTCCGCCCGCGCCCGCCGCAGCTCCCGTCGCCCGCAGCATCGCATGGGGGCGCGCCGCAGGCGGAGCGCGCTCGCAACGAGCGGAGGGGGCTGCAACCGGCCACGCGCCCAGCACCTGCAGGTGTGCCAGCGGCTGCCAGTCGCGGATGATTGCCCCCCGAGATGGTTTGCAGCGTGAACCGATCCATCTGCGGTCGTGCGTCGGAATTCGGGGGCGTCGTTTGGGCGCGGCGGACATGGGAAGGGGCGGGATGGCGGGGATGGCGGTGCGATGGCGGGGGGGACCGGTGGCGGGTGCAGTCTGATTTGGTCGCGAGGCGTGAGCGCAGTGAATCGGCTGCGTAGCGGTGAAGGCGGCGCCGCGGGCCGCGACGCTGTCAGGTGGCGGCCTGGGACCCACCACGCGTTGGTTACTCCTCGACGAATGTCTCTCCGGCTGCCGGGCCCGAGATTGGCAATTCGGATGTGTGCGGTGCACATCCGACGGGTGTGATAGTCGCTGGGCGGGCGGCGCGCTCTGGACGCATCGGCGGGCCCTTGGCATCGATCACTTGTTCTGGGCGCGGCCGGGCGGGCTTGTCCTGCCCTGGCGCATTTTTGAGGAGGCGCTCTCGGATGGCAGCCAATCTTGACGTGCACCACCTGATGAATCGCGATCGCAGCATTCCGTGCGTCCCAGCTCCCCGGCTCCCGCCGTCTGGCTTCGCGGTGCCACAGCGGAGCCAATCGCGCCCGCGGCCTCCGCTGCGGGCGATGGGCCAGCCGCTCCGCTGACGGGCGCCTGGGCTTTGCTTCCTCAGGCGCATGGGGGCAGGACGATGGGCGATTGGGCCGATGGCTCGAGCGTCCGGCTTTTGGAGGGCGGCGGCGGAGGGGCGGCGACCGGCAAGTGGCAGGGGCCGGTGCCGTACGGACCGCTGGGAGGCCCAAAGGTGCGCAGACGGGGGGCTGTCGCTGGCGGGAGTGGGGTTCCGCAGTGTGCGGCGTCTAGGGTTGTGGATGAGGAGCGAGGCGATCACGGAGAGTTGTGCAGGGCCAAACCCCGAAAGGCCCCTGAGTTGCGTTGCCGGCGCGGGCGCGGTACACAGTGGGACACGGTGGGGCCGATGGCTGTCCCCAACTGGTGAAGACGCAACTGCGAGGGCAAAGCAAATTCTTCTGCAATTGTTGCGGCCGGTGTTGCTTGTCATATGCAAAGAATGCTCACGTAACTGGGACTGTGTCTCTGTTCGTGGTAATGAATGCCCAATATGTCCTTGGCCCAGAGTCTCAACACGAGAATGCTCTCAGAGTTGCCAACCAGAAACCAGAAAGACAAGTAGTGGAGAAAGATTGTCAGAGTCATATCCTGGGGCGCTGGTTGGAGAAACTGTTGATGTTGGGCTGTTCACAGGGCTGTTTGCCCTCACAACCAAGACCGCCAGACAGGACCGCATTCTGGTTTGAGGCAGTCGGCATTTCACAGGTGCTCCTGTTTCAGGCAGGGCGTTTCCATCCTGAAAGGAGGGCCTCAGAATAGCTTGCCAAGTTATTTGCGAAGGCCTCCAGTGTTGCTGAGACCTGGGAGGCGCCACAAAGGTTGTCCCAGGTATAGAATTCGGCTGGAGAGTGTTGCTGAGCTTCGCGTGAAGGTGTTCTTGTCATTCATTGCATTTCACCAGGGTAACAACGCAACTGCTCCTGCATAATCTTTCCAGAGACATCAATAAGCACACATTGTTTGTGCAAATGACACTGATTGAACACCTTGCGTTGGCTTTGCCAAAAAAGATGAAAGGCTGCCTCATCGCTTTGGATGCTAACAGGCAATACTGGACATCCTCCACCCCAAAACGAAATGCCACCGGGTTCTATGGCATGTCTGTTTTGAACACTGGTGTGAGCTGGATGCGTGGGTTTGATCACACTTGTTATGGCTGAATTCTGCCTTTGATATGTTCACTGCCCTCCACCAGAGCTGCCCATGCACTTGCAAAGGCCCCAATTAGTCATGTTGTTGGTTGTCACTCAGCATGACTAAGGGTTGGATGGCAGCTGGGACCACACCTGGCTCTTTGACCACCATGGATTCAAACGTAGTGATGGTGGTATTTTCCGATTTGCTACAACCACTATAGTCATCCAGTGGATTGCCTTCCTGTGGGCTGTGTTTCACCTTGTGCATGTCTCAGTTCAGCCCCCTTTGCAACAACTGCTTGAGTCAGAGTTGACAATGATACTGTTCATGATCTTTCAATGAATACAAAATCACAACGGCCACAGCCGACCTTTCTGTGTCAGAGATGTGCCAAGGCAAGGTCTCTGTGCTTAGGAAAGGTGGTTTTCAGTTATGTGTCCACTAGTTCAGGGTTTCCAGACGCGATTTTGGTACACTGATGATTGCCCCAGCAAAGCAAATGACCAGTCGTGTTAGTTTGTGTTTGACATGGGCATAGTACTCTTGTGCCTTTACTGTGCTCTGGCGTGCAGTCATATCTCAACTTGAGCCCCAGGCATGCATGACTATCTTGTTTGAATGTGCAGGGTTTTGGGAAGCGCGTGCTTCCGCCTCGACGTGCACGCGAAGTGTCATGCCAAAGGACACATTGCATCTTGACTGCTGATTGGAGGAGCGTCAAGCGATGCAGAGGCACTGACAGTGTGGTGGGTTCTGTGAAAAGTGGTGTGCATGAATTGATACACCAAATACCGTGCTGATTCAGGAAGTTATGATAGCATAATGCAGCGTTTGCTATCGGCCGCTGTTGCCAACGGCAGGATGTGTTTGGTGTCAATTCATGAAGGAAGAGAGCACCCATGCCTCCATGCCAACTCACAGGCTCAACACAATTCCTGGCAGCTCCATCGCAGCTTTGTACCTACTCCCTCAGGCTGAATGAGGTGTCTTCTCTCCATGGTATCCAGAAGCATTTCACAGCTTCAGCCTTCTCCTGACAGCTTCTTGCTTACTCCAAGTCGTTGATTCAGGTGTTCTCCCCTGCATAAGAGCACATGAGCATTTCGTATGTGCGATTGAGCACACCGTCAGCATCGCACTGTGAAGGAGAAGAGCTTTGTCTTGCCTGTAGAGAACGTCGCGATTCTCTTGGAACAAGGGCAGGCATGTGAGCAGCCGCCATTATCTCGCGCAGGGCGCCTGCAAGCTTGCAGGCTGCCAACTGCGAGTCGCAGGGGAAAGCCTGCAAGGGCCCAGGCTGCCACCACAGGCACCATCGATTGCACAACATAAGTTACTGCCAATGCTCAGGAAGTGGCGGCCTTAGGGACAGGCACGTGCTTTGCACGAGGATCGATTCCGGTGCTACTCTGTTCTTTGACACAACAGTGTCACCCCTCTGGCTGGCGGATGGCATTGGGGTGCCCTGGAACCCGAACACTTGTGCTTGTGGAGAGTGCCCGACGTGATGGTACCGTGATTTGCCACACGTTGACAGAACCGCCCTTTGCGTGTGTTTGCAGGACGGTCAGCCCTATGTAGGGTGGGCCAACCTGCCGGCCGACCTCCTGGACCGCGTGCGGGCGGAGTTTGGCGACGGCGGCCACAGCATGATCAGGGTCGCGCGCCTGGTGAACCGGCACTGGTGCGCCTGGGCCACCCAGGCCACCGAGTGCCTGGCGCTGTGCGGCGGCCAGCACGTCGGCAGGGTGATCGACATGCTGGCGCCCAAGTTCGACCGCGTGAGGCGGCTGAAGCTGAAGTACCCCTTTGGCTGCGACGACCGCGCTCTGGCGCGCCTGGCGGGGTTCCGGTCGCTGACGCACCTCGAGCTGCAGGACTACCGGGGCCAGGCGCTGAGCGTCGACGCGGTGGCTTCCCTTGCGACAGTCCCCAAGCTGTCCAAACTACACTTCTGCTCGCACCCGGCGCTGATGTACTGCAACTTGACCGACCTGGTGGCGTCGAAGCTGACGGCGTGCACGGCCCTGAGGGAGCTGTGCCTGAGCAACTGCCAGATCACGGACCGGGGCCTGGCGGGGCTGGCGTCGCTCACGGGGCTGTCGCGGCTGGGGCTGGAGGGCTGCAAGCGGGTGACGGACGATGGCGTCAGCGGCCTGGCGGCGCTGACGAACCTGACGGAACTGGACCTGGCGGAGTGCACCGAGGTGACTGCCCGGGGTGCCGCCGGCCTGGCGCCTCTGACGGCCCTCACCAAGCTGGGGCTGCTGGTGAACGGGCGGGAGTGGGGCGCGGGCTTGGACGGGCTGGCCGGCATGCGCTGTTTGTCTGAACTGCTTTTGGACGCGGACCTGACGGACCCAGACATGCAGCGCCTGGGCGGCCTGACGTCCCTCCGGTCCGTCCACCTCAAGTGGAAGTGGAACTGCTCGGTGGGGGTCACCGACGCCGGGATGGCCGCGCTGGCGCGCCTGACGGGCCTCAGGGAACTGGCCCTGGTGTTCCTCAACGTGCAGGTTGAGGGCCGCGTGACGGACGCCGGCGTGCGCTCCCTCGAGGCCCTCACCGCCCTCACCAGCCTCATCTTCATCCCCGGCAGCAACAGGGTGACCGACGGTGCGCTGGGCTGCCTCAGGGCGATGCCGCGCCTGGCGGACCTGCGCTGGGGCGGCGTCCTCACCCCTGTGGGCCTCAAGTCTCTGGGCCGCCTCGAGCGGCTGACCGCCCTGGCGGTGAGGGTGCCCCTGACGTACGACGTCGTGCGGTCCCTTAGGCCCCTCACCTGCCTTGC